GGTGCTAATATTTAGGTTGAAGTCCAGTGCAAACCATTTACACCACTTGGGGACATTCAAAATGGCTGATTGACTTCTAAGTCATATACCTTTTAAAGTCTCAGACCCCAAAAGAACCAGGTAAAACTCAGTGCCTTTCCTCACTCAAAAGTCATTTTTAAATGATGAACAGGCTGTCAAACTAGTTTTAAAAAGTCTCTGTAATACAAAAATAACAGAACTAGAACATATAGTACTAGCCCAAACACAAAAGCAAGCCATGTGTAAAACCAACAAGAATGAGTTCCTTCTCCATTCTCTGGGCAGAGAATGAACTTAAAGAGCAATTGTGCACTGCTGTCCATCCATGATTAACATTCTCCTACTTTCAAAGTCCTTCTACTTAAGCATTTCCTAGCTCTAAGATAGGCCTTCAGAGTGCTGAATATGCAGATGTCACCCAAAATAAAAAAATAAATAAAGCACATAAAATAACATTTGAACCAAGAATAACATTAGTCTCAATAGAGAGACTGAAAGCATTCCCCTTGTAAATGGGTACCAAACAAGGATGACCTTTATCACTACTGCTATTCAACACTGTACTGGAAATCCTAGCCAGAGCAAGAAAAGGAAATAGAAGGTGCCCAAATTGGCAAAGAAGAAGTAAAATTATCTGCATTTCCAGATGTATGATCCTATCCATAGAAAATCCCAAAGACTCAGCAAGAAAATTTGTGGAACTAATTGAAAGATTCAGCAAAGGGACAGAGTACAAGATCAATGTGCAAAAATCAGTTGAATTCCTTTACACTAAAAAAGAAAACTCCGAAAAGGAAATCAGGAAAACAATACTATTTACAACAACCACCCAAAAGATGATGTACTTAAGAATAAATATAAGCAGAAACACAAAAGGCCTATACAAACAAAACTACAAAACACTACCAAAAGAAACCTCCATAAAGGAAGAATATACCACACTCATGGACAGGAAGACTTAACATTGTCAAAATGTCAATACTACCCAATTCAATCTACAAATATAATGCAATCCTGATACAGATTCCATCACCATTCTTCAAGTAAAATCTAATCACCAACTTTATATGGAAAAGAAAGAGACCCCAGATAAGCAAAACACACCTGACGAAGAACAACAAAGTAGGAGTCTCACATTTCCCATTCCTAAAACCTGTTACACAACTACAATAGTCAAAGAAGCCTGGTACCGGTACAGTGAAAGATACCTTTAATGGAATTGAGAACCCAGAAATAAACCCATCCACCTGCGGACTGTTCATCTTTGACAAAGGAACAAATTTCAGCAAATAGAGAAGAGGTGGTTTCTTTAACAAATGTTTTTGGCAAAACTTGGTATCTATTTGTAGAAAAATGAAACAGGATCCATAACTCATACTATATACAAAAACAAACTCAAAATAGATCAGAGACTTAAATATAAAACCTAAAACTATAAAGACCATCAAAGAAAACATAAAGACAAACACACTGGCCCTAATACATGGCATCAATTGACTATCAAATGTAAGTAAAACACATATACCAAAAGACAAAATAGATGAATAGGACCTAAAAATTAAGACACTCACGCACATCAAAAGATCCACCAAAAGAGTAAAAAGAGAATCCACAAACTGGCAAAGACATACTGAACATGGCACTAATCTCTAAAATATACAGAAAATTTCAACAATAAAAGACAAACAATACAATTTAAAAAAGGGCAGAGGACATGACCAGGTACTTCACCAAAGAAGATATTCAAGTGACCAACACAGGAAGAAATGCTCATGATTTAACGATCAGAGAAATGCAAATCAAAACAACAATGAGATACCATTTTACCCCAGCACTAATAGCAAAGTTCAATAAAACAGAAAACAAATGCTGACAAGGGCATGGAGATACTGGAACCCTCATACACTGCTGATGGGACTATAAAATTGTAAACCACTGTGGAAAATGGTATGGCACCTCCTTAAAAAAGCTGGAATTAGAAAAACCTTATGATCCAGCATTCCCACTACTAGGTATATGTTGTTATTGTTGTTGTTACATGCCATCGCGTCGGCCCCGACTCATAGCGACCCCTCCTTGGGTTTCTGAGGCAGTATCTCTATAGAAGTAGATTTCACAACCTTCCTTCCAAGGAGTGGCTGGTGGGTTTGAACTGCCAGCCTTCTGTTTAGCAGTCAAGTGACTTAAGCACTATGCTACCAGAGCTCCTACTAGATATATAACCTAGAGAAATAAGGCCCATGACACAAACAGATGTATACACACCTATGTTCATCACAATACTATTCATAATAGCAAAAAGATGGAAACAACCTAAATGCCTGTCAGTGGATGAATGGATAAACAAACTTCGGCGGGTACATACGATGGTATACTATATAACATTAAAGAACAATGATGAATCTGTGAAACATATTATAACATGAACAGACATTATGGTGAGTGAAATTAGTCGATCACAAACAAACAAATATTGTATGAGACCACTACTATAAATAGTCAAGAAAAGGTTTTCCCACAAAAAGAAATATTCTTTGATGGCTACCAGAGGTGGGAAGGGAAGGGAAGGTAAACTACTAACTAGAGGGGTAGACACATATTCACTCAGGTAAAGGAGAAGGCAATATGCAATTATGCAATAAGAGAAAATCCCCCCCCCCAAAAAAAACCTCCACTGCCATCAAGTTGATTCAGACTCATCAGAACCGTCACAGGGTGTCCAAGGCTATCGATCTTTAGAGAAGCAAACCGCCTCATCTGGCGCTGACTTTCTGGTTAGCAGCCCAATGTCTTAATCACAATACCACATCATTCTAAGAGCTCCTTAGAATAAGGCAGAGGTCAGAACAAAATGATTAAGGCAAAGGCAGACACTGGGAGGCATACAAGAGTCAAAGGCAATAGACGTAAACCCTAATACATATACAATCCTGCATTAATGGAAATAACAATAATCTATGTGTATATACATAGACATTCAAAATGAACAAGCAGAATGAGACTATATCTATGAATATATACATAGGTTTGACAGAGATATCTCTACACATATATTTACATATGCAGCAAATATATAAAAGGATATAGTAGAATACACAGGAAGCAAAGTTATGAAAACTTCTTAGTCATAATCAAAAACCTTCAGGAAATGAGTCATTGGTCCTGAGGACTCAGGACCATAGTGTCAGGAGACATCTACAAAGAAAATGTTCTATATCCTACTTTGGGGTATAGCTCCAAGGGTGTTAAAAACTTGCAAGTGGCCATCTAATGTGCAACTATTGCTCTCTCTCTGTCTGCAGCAATGAAAATCAAAGACACATGGAAAGTTAGTCCAAAGGACTATATGAACCTGAGCATCCATGTCTCTGATTCAGAAGAACTAGATGGTGCTCAGCTACCACTACCGACTACTCTGAAAGAGATCACATCTGAAGGTCCTGAATAGAGTTTGGGAAAAATATGAACAAAATTCAAAATCATAAGAGCAGGCTTACTGGTCAAAAAGAGACTGGTGGAACCCCCAAGACTATGGTCCTTTGGACCTAGAACTGAGCACACTCCCACGGCTCAATTTTTAGCCAGACAATGGAGAGGTCTACAAGGTAAATGTTAATGCTAGGAAGATGTGTACTTCACAGAGATCAAAAGGGCAGCACTTGCCCAGGGACTGAGTTCAGAAGGCAGGAAGAGCTAGGAGAGAGAGAGGAATGGAAATGAGAATTATAGAGAGGAAGTGGGAGGAGTGATGCTGCAATGACAGGATCACAAGCAGTGAGATGAAACAAAATGTGTATGAATAGTCTGATGAAAGATGATTTGCTCTGTAAACTTTCACCTAAACCTCAATGAAAAGTTTAAATAACCTTTGATCCCTTGGCTGCTAACTGACAAATCAGCAGTTCAAACCCACCAGCCACTCCAAGGGAGAAAGACATAGCAATGTACTTACAGATTACAGACTTGGCAACTCTATGGGGCAGTTCTACTCTGTCCTATAGGATTGGTACGAGTAAGAATGAACTCAACAGTAATAAGCTGAATCTATCCGTTGCTTTTATGACAACAACATAATCTAGCTAGAGAGAAACAAAACACACTCTAAACTCTCTAACAGGCTTATACAAAAAGTAGTATACTCTTGAGTGCCTAATAACATAGTTCACATCAAATTTAAAAGCATAAAAATACTTCTAAAATGTAAAATAGTGTTCAGTGGGATGGATTAGTATGAAAAGATTTTTCACATACCTTAATTAACTTCTAACAGAAGAAAATAAACTTGTAAAGTCCCACGTAACACAAAGTAAGAAAAAAAAATAAAGTGTTAAAGGTAGGCAACTACAAGCTGTCCTGTTACTATTACTAAAATCAATAATAATTAAAAAAAAAAAAAGAATTTACACAAATGTGTAAGAAATGAAAAACAAAAAGGACAGGCATACAATTAAAAGATAAAGACAAAAAAGAACAGAGAAAGAGGACTAGACATTGTGGCCAGAGTATCAAAACTTTTTACTAGATTATAAACTTTTTAAATTTTGTGCTTATTAAAAACTGATCAGAAAAAAAGAGTTGATAACGTTCCTACACAAAAAAGGATGATATTCAAGATTATAATGTTAAGTAAAAAATAAGAAACGTTTTAGGCTACAAATATGTGCTAGACAAGGAAAAGGGAATTATAAATGTATAATTTAGATACTGTTTACCTCTGCCTAGCATATGATGGATAAATGACTGTTCCTTATTATATAGATAGATAGATAGATAGATTTTTTTTTTTTTTTTTTTTTTGCGTAGTGATACTGCCTCGGAAACCAAGGAGGGGTCCCTATGAGTCGGTCCGACTTGACAGCACGTAACAACAACAAAAAATACAAATTTTAATAAAAAATCAGTCTAAACGCCGTGGTGGGGATTTCGATGGCGGTCTTAAATAGAATCTAAGACTCAATGAGCCATGGCAATCTACACACCCCAGAAACGGCCCAAATGTGTGAGGGCAGCGCTGTTTTTCGGAAACTCCCACTGACAATTGAGGGTGAGGAACGAGAGTAAAAAGGATAGGCTTTCCCTAGGGGAAGGAACGCTGGTGGTGCAGTAGTTAAATCGCTAGGCTTGCTAACCAGAAGTTCAGTAGTTGGAACACACCTGCTGCGAGAAAGATTACAGCCTTGGGAAACGGTTCTACCCTGTCCTATAGGGTCCCTACGAGTCTCAGTGTGTTTCGGTTTTCTTTTTTTTTTTTTTGGTTTAGTTTCTCAGAGTGGTAGGTAGCAAGCGACACGAGGCGAGAGTGGCAAGGTGACAAGCGAGCACTGCAGAGCCTTAAGATTGGGAGGCTGCACTGCCGCCCTGTCTCGGGGCGACTTCTTTCAGCACCTCCCAATCCAGCTCTACTGTCCAAAAGAATCACTTCGCGTCCTCCCTGCTCCGCCTTCCAGGTCCACAGCGACCGACACCAAGTTCCCGAGACCGCCCTCTCCCTCCGTCTGCCCCATAAGACCTTTTACCGGAACCCAGCGGGTTCAGAAGAGCGGGAGGGAGCCCACCATAGTGACGTCCTCCTAGCCACAGCGGGCCTCCAAGCTCCACACTAGGGCAACCTCACCCGTCAGCAGCGGCTACAGTTGGCCAAACCTTCCTTCCTAAACACGTGTAGGGCTGGGGAAGCCGACCAGGAACTCTACCGGAAGAGGAGGGGCGAGTGTGGTTCTCTAAAACGTCCCGGAAAACGAGGCCTTGTCTTTTTCGCCTGTGTTGTAATTTTAATCCCTGCCCTATAAACCGGTAAAAGAAGTTCCTGACCATAGAGTGAACTTGGTCCGGAGTGGAGCGCCGAGCTAGGCGGTTGAGCCGGACTTGCGGGCGCCCGACCCACACAGCTGGTAGCATCTCGGACTTGGGCTCGGATTTAGGACATCTGGGAGCTCTGGTAGCATAGTGCCTAAGGCATTTGACTGCTAACCAGAAGGCTGGCGGTTCAAACCCACTAGCCACTCTTCGGAAGGCAGATGGGGCAATCTACTTCCGCAGTGATACTGCCTCGGCAACCCAAGGAGGGGTCGCTACGAGTGTACCACTCGATGGCACAAAACAGCAACATAACAACAGCCCCTGGTGCATGACTCCAGAGCCGAACAGACTCGCCAGACGAGGGACTCCCTTCGCAGGTGGCTCCATCATCTCAGTGACCTTACTTGTTTTGGAATGCTCCTCGTAGATGGCAGGTGTCCATTTGCCACAACGAACCTGCCCACTGCTCGCAATGCAGCGGAACAATATATTTATACCACAGAAATTCACTGAATACCTATTATGTGCTAGACATTGGAGATACTTAGACAGTACCCCTGCTGTCATTCAGTTAATATTCCACACACAAAAAAACAGAAACCAAACTCACTGCCGTGGAGTCGGACCGACTCATAGCGACCCCTCCTTGGGTTGCCAAGGCAGTATCACTACAGAAGTAGATTGCCCCATCTTCCTTCCGAGGAGTGGCTGGTGGGTTTGAACCTCCAGCCTTCTGGTTAGCAGTCAAGTACCTTAGGCACTACACTACCAGAGCTCCTATAAGCATGGAATTCCTCATTCCTTTTTAACCTTTACTAATCGCTCTCCTCATTTAAAGAGCCCTACAAGGAGCTCTGGTTGCATAGTTCCTAGGCTTTTGACTTCTAACCATAAGGCTGGTGGTTCAAACCCACCAGCTACTCCTCTGAAGGAAGACTGGGCAATCTACTTCTGTAGAGATACTGCCTGGGAAACCCATGGAGGGGTTGCTTTGAGTGGGGACCAACTCGAAGGAAATGAATTTTTTTTTTTTTTTTTTTATAGTGCAGTCAAGGAGCTCTGGTGGTATAGTGGTTAAGGCATTTGGCTGCTAACAAGAAGGTCAGTGATTCAAACCCACCAGCTAGCTGCTCCATGGAAGGAAGATGGACCACTCTACTTCCATAAAGATCTACAGCCTCAGAAACCCAATGGGGGTCGCTTTGAGTCAGAATCTACCTGATAGCAGTTTGTGTGGGAGGGGGTGTGCAGTGATTAAGTGCTCAACTGCTAACTGAAACATTGGAGGTTTGAACCTAATAGCCACTCCAGGGGAGAAAGATGTGACAATCTGCTTCTATAAGGATTACAGACTTGGAAACCCTGTAGGGCAGTTCTACCCTGTCCTGTAACAGTCATTTTGAGTTGAAATTGATTCCACTGCCAGAGCTTTATTTGATTTTACACCTGTGTTTATAATGCATTTGAGAATGTGTTTTCTTTGTTATGTTATTGAGACAGCATTAGTATAGGATGTGTCTTAAACCAGTCTTTTTGGAGATACAAAACAGATTAAACAAGCAAGAGAGCAAGCAGAAATGGGAAAAGAGAGATAACAAACTCCTAAAGATCATCCGAGAACAGAAGCTTACAAGAGAAAAGGACCTTCCTCCATAGTCAAGTGAGAGATAAAAACTTTCCCTAGAGGTAACACCCTGGATTCAGTCTTGTAGCCTCCTAAACTATAAGAAAATAAATTTCTGTTTGATAAAGCAACACATCTGTAGTATTTCTGTTATAGCAGCAAGTACTAACACAAAGAATGCTGTTTTGATATATTAATCTCATACAAAATAGACTGCTTATCAAAGGTATTACTAGAGATTGGAAAAATTGCTTTATAATGATCAAGGATTCTGTTTTAAATGTAAATGTATGTATATTGAACCAAACAAAAGTTGATAAAGTAAGAGAACTGAAAAGATTTCAAAGGGCGGTTCAAGAAGACAAAGTAAAGTATTATAATTAAATGTACAAAGACCTGGAGTTAGAAAATCAGAAAGGAAAAACATACTTGGCATTTCTCAAGCTAAAGGAATTGAAGAAAAATTTCAAGCCTCGAGTTGCAATATTGAAGGATTCTATGGGCAAAAGTGGCTAAGGCACTTGACTGCTAACCAGAAGGCTGGCGGTTCAAACCCACCAGCCACTCCTCGGAAGGAAGGTTGGGCAATCCTAC